GCCAGGTCCTGGAGACAGTAAGAATGTCTGGAGCAAGGACTACTTGCCTTCAGTGGAGGAGAATGAGGTTAAGGAACATATTAGACATACAGACTAGACAGACACAAGCGTGTGGGACCTGATGGGATGTACCCACAAGTGCTGTGGGAGCTGGCCAATATCATTGCAAGGCCACTCTTGATTGTCTTTGAAAGGTCATGGCAGTTGGCAAAGGTTCCTGAGGACTGGAAGAAAGCAACGTCACTCCAGTCATTTGGAAGGGTAAGAAGCAGGACCTGGGGAACTGCAGGCCAGTCAGCCTCACCTTCATCCTGGGAAGGATGCCATTTCAAACATGAGGGACAAGATTGTTGTTGGGAGTAGCTAGTATTGATTTACAAAGGAGAAATCACATCTCATCCACCTGATAGCATTCTACAACAAAATGACTGGCTCACAGGATGAGAGGAGTGCTGGGCTGTTGTTTACCTTGACTTTAGCAAGGTTTTCCACACTGGACATCTGTCTCCCATAACATCCTAATAGACAAATTAACGAAAGACGAACTAAACTGATGGACAGTGAAGTGGTTCAAGAACTGGCTTAACCGCTGTGCTCAAAGAATTGTGACCAGACGGACAAAGGAGTAACCCAGACATTGATACCTTGTGCCAATACTGTTCAACATCTTCATTAATGGATGGCATCATGGGACAGAGCACACCCTCGGCAAGTTTGCAGGTGGTACAAAACTGGAAGGAGCAGTTGCTGCACCACAGGGTTGCACTGCCAGCGAGAGGGACCTTGAGGGGCTGTAGAAATGGGCCAACTCAGTGGGCTCATGAAGTTAACACAGGGACGTGCAAAGCCCTGCCCTGGGAGGAACAGCCCCGTGCACCAGCACAGGCCGGGGCCCAACTGGCTGGACAGCAGCCTGACAGAGAAGGCCTTGAGGGTCCTGGTGGATGACAGGTTGACCATAAGCCATCAGTGTGCCTTTGTGGCAAAGCAGGCCAGCAGCCTCCTGGACAGGATTAGGAAGAGCACTGCCAGCAGGTCAAGGGGGGTGGTTCTTCCCCTCTTCTCATCACTGGTGATATCTGGAGTCCAAGATAGACATGGGCATACTGGAGCAAGTCTGGTGACATGAAAGGTGGGCATAGGAGAACTGGGATTTATCCTTGAGAAAAGAAGGCTCATATCAATGTGTATAAGCATCTGATGGGAGGTTGTAAGAAGAACTTTTTTCAGCAGTGCCCAGTGATGTGACCAGAGGTAATGGGCACAAACTGAATTACAAGAAATTCCATCTAAAATAAGGAGGAAAAAAAAAAAGTTTACCGTATGGATGGTTGAACACTAGGACAGGTTTCCCAGAGAGCTTGTGGAGTGTCAGTCTTTGGAGTTGCTCAAAACTTGACTGGACATGGTCTTGAGCAACCTGCTCTAGTTGGGTGGGGGAAGTTGGACTGCGCAGTCTCCAGATGTCCCTTCCAACCTTGGCTATCCTACGATTATAAGCAGCTCTTGGGAAAATGTGGCCCACAATGTTGGCTCCAGGTGGCCAAGAAAATGGTCTTGTTGCTCTGTTCCCGCTCTGCAGTGTTTCCTTCACTTTCATTAAACCCTGAAGAGAGAATATTTTGCTGGTTCTCATTTCCAGTTCTACAACATGAAACTAAATATACATACGCATTTCCCAGTGGTTTGGTAGAAACATGAATGGTGAAGAATGACTTCAGGGACAATTGAAATGTATACCTAATAGTCAGGAAGCAGTAAAGGCTGCTTCTTGGTGTCTGTTTTTGGAATTCGCATACGAGAGTCAGTTCCCTGCCAGCGGCTGATCACAGTAGGGCCCAGTCTCACAGTGCCTGAGGGAGGCAGGTAGGGCATATTCAGCTCAGACTCCAGTGCGTCAGGCAAGCGTGTGGTCATGGGGCAGGTCTGAGGTCAAGCCAGGAAGTCAGTCTGCCAATGAGGATCAGGTCCAGTGATTGCCAGGCAGGTCCGTCACAACAAAGCTGTCCTGAGGTCAAGCTGGGAAGCAAGTCTGTGGCCCAGCAGACCTCTGGCTGAGGTGAAGACCAGTGCTCCTGCAGCATGGCACAGGCCAGGACTGAAGGCCCAGGCCTGAGCTTAAATAGAGCTCCTGGGCTCTTTGTCTGGGTTTGTTGGTGGAGACTGCAGGTGAGGCTGCTTAGTCATTAGGGCCTTTTCATGCACTCAGGGCCCTGACACTGTGCTGTTGGTTTTGTTTTTGTTTGGGTTTCTTAAAATTGTGTAGGTGTTCTGATTTTTTGCATATTTCATTACATTTTTAATTTGTCCTAAGAATTACAGTTTTTCTCATTTGCCTATATGTTCTCATTGAAGGGAGAAAAACAATGCTGTTGGCTATGGTGGAAATTAGGTAATTAAGAGAAATTTCTGTATCACTAATACTGTTTTTCTTATGCAGAACTACCAATGAAATAAAAAACTTGCAGTACCTACCTCGAACCAGTGAACCCCGTGAAATGCTATTTGAAGACCGGACACGAGCCCATGCAGATCACATAGGACAAGGTTTTGAACGACAGACTACAGCTGCTGTGGGAGTATTGAAGGCTGTGCACTGTGGAGAGTGGTATGTGTTGATTGACTTATTCACCTAGGTGTTTGAAAAATATTTGCCTGAATTTCCATTTATAATTGGTAGAAGGAGCACAGAATAGGTTAATCTAGTATTAGAGATTTAATGAAGACTTAGTAGATACTGGACTTTTTTTCCCCCTCTCTCTCTATACACTAGATGTGGGTACAGTTTTGCTGTGTAGATGAAACTAGAAAGGTGCCTTGCAATGGCAGTTTAATAGCTATAATTGAGTTGCTGCAACTGAGTTGATGTTAGATGTAAAAACACTTCATGCTTTGTTTTGCTTTAAATAGTGCATATGGACTGACCTGAGTTTCTGCCTCAGAGGTGCACATGAAGACCTTTTGGCAATTCTTTGTGTTGTCTGGAGATGAGCGGAATTTTTATGCCTCTGTTTCAAAATCATGGCTGTTACAACCCTGATTTATTTATAGTGGATCACCCAGGAAGAATCCTGTTGGAGGCTGTGTGATTTTTCTTTGGTGTCTGTCTTTGGAGTTCCCATATGAGATTCAGGAAATGAATGCATCTCATTTGAAGTTGTTTAAATTTTAGCCAAATAAAAAGCCCATAATCATATGGACTTCCTGGCCCAGATCTAAGAAACATTTTTCAGGATCTTCTGACCTTGTTTGGGAGAATGACCTTAGTTTTGGCGGTTACCTTTGCACACATAAATACTAAAAACACCTTTCGCTCTTTATATCTGTCTAGAATTTAGAAGAGTGAATTCCCTTGGGATTAAATGATGTGAATTTGTGTTACAGTGCATGAGTTTATTGAGATAGAAAATTGAGTAATTGCTGTTGGGGAAGAACTAGATTGTTCAGATGTTAATGTGTTTGTATTTTGGGCTCTGAGGTTCTGCAGTTTACTTCCTCTTCAGGTTGATGATAGCTGGAGCCTTAAACTTCCTGCTTGCTCCGTGAGAAGCTGGAGTGAATTAAGACTAAGTGGTGGTAGCAGGGCAAGACCTGAGATACTGTGTAGATCTGATTATTGTAAATTACAGCTTGCACATATGAGAGAGAGAGAGAGAGAGAGAGTCAAAGCTTTATCAAAGAAAGTAAAACAAAAAACAAAAACAAAACCTCACCCCCTAAACTTGTGTGCCTGTGGAAATTAATAAGAATTTAAATTGATAGTAATTTAAAAGTCTGTGGGAACTTCGATTCTCACACTATACCTTCATAACAAGATCCTCCTCCCTTGGAAATCATTACATGTTCATTTACATTCTAAAAATAAGTTTTCTTGCTTTTCAGATCTAAACCATTATCTTCTCTCATATGTTGGAACTTGTGGAAAAGGGTGTCTATTCAACCTCCATTAAAACTCCTTTTAAACTTGGAAAAATGAATGGAATTAGTCAAAATAAAAAGTGTGTAGGTTAAAAAGTGATCTGAAAAGTCACTGCAAAACTAGGCAAAACTGCCCAAGAAACTTGAAAGT